TCCGCTGGAGGAAGACACCTAGATCCCACTAGAACATGGGCATGTTAGCAGTCCGTCCTCCCTCAGGAAAGCTACGGTCTGGATGAGTGTTGGAGGTGCCTCTCCCAAATTCCAAGAGCACAGGTGTTATTACTGGAAGAGACCCCCTTGGGAACGAGGGGGAATGTGAGAGGACAAGTTAGGCTGCTCCCGTAGACATTAAGGTTTCACGGGTACATTACCGCCTTCGAAGCAACGCAAGGACCTGGGTGAAACAGTCCAAGAGACCTGCAGGGAGCTAAACTTGTCCGGTGCGGTCCGTGGACAGGCCCATGGTCTCCTTCCAATTCCCGCTACAGATAACAGCGTGAACCAGAGACACTTGCAGACATTTACGGAGCTGTCATTTACCTTGGGGCTTGGTGGGGAACGCGGGGGACGCCAGGCATCCGTGCAGTTGACATACAGAGTCCGTTTGAGCTCAATATCCGATTTTTCCGAACTCCCCTTCCCTGAAACTGGCTACGCAGGACGTGAGCAAAGATTGTACATTCAGCATCAATACAGTGATACAATTGGTACACCTGTCGTTTGTACAGCGTGCGAACTCCAACAGACATTTAGCAGCAGTTCATATACAACGTTAGAGGATCCTACAGGTCACAACGGCAACCTCTGATCTGGTATCAAAGGTAACGCTCCGCACTATAGCTGCCCGTAACCCAAATCCTAAAGGGTTTTTCAATTCCATTTCCAGACTCTTCCAACTCCAGTAATTCTTAACATATACAGATATCCATATACATTGTTTAAGTAAAACGCTCCTTCACATACACAATCAATATACTGAATTATCAAGAACAAGAATATATTTTTGGAGCAGAATAGCAAAACAATCTGCTCTGCCAGTGCCACCCACGAACTAGACAAGTAACTAAGAAGAAGTTCGACAGTTTCAGACCACTTGGGAAAGAGGGGCCCTCTTGGCCTAAAGACGGGGGAGCCATGCAGTCAAAGTGCTATGGGGATACAGTAAATGCAATACACAGGGAAACACAACCTGTTCAAAATGTTTTCTCGTAAAGATTCGGGAGCCATAAGGAGAATCCTTATCATCAGGAGCTATCTTTACAATTTCAGAAATAACTGGATAGCTTTTAAGCAGAAAAGAGTACGACACTGAAACGGAAAAGCTACGCAAACACCGGGCTGAGTCTGGCCAAAAGCTCCGTTTCTTTTAACGTACCAGGGTGGATACTGAATGTTGGGAGTGCATCTGATTTACAAAAAGCCATCTCGGCCAACCTTAGGGAAGACAAAAGCTGTTGTTTCCTCAAACACCTAACTCTGTAACAGACTTGGATGTCTAGGCAAACAAAACCCAGGGAGGTGGAAACGGAAAGCCCGCCTTGCCAAGGGAAAAAACCCAACCAAAACCTAAATCAAAGGAAGAGCCAAGGGAGGGAAAGACCTGCATTACAAACACCCAAAAGAAAAAGAAAAAACAATAAAAAGAGACGTGAGAGGAAGCAGTTCACAGTAAAGAACAACCGTGGCCACAGCTCTGCAACTTTGGGGCAGTACGGGTGATTTTGGGGCAGTACGGGTGATTTTCGGGCAGTACTGGTGGCAACATCAGCAGAACAAGCTTCAGGCTGGGTGTTTGAGCTATTTAAACTCCAGCGGTTAGCCCCAAATCCAATTTTCTAGTATTTAACCGTTTCGTATCCGCCAGCAAACTGCAGGCTCTCACCTGGCCCACGGGTCTTTCCTGTGAAAGGCACAGCTTGGGGCCGAGCAGCGGATAATCCCCGGGACAGAGGATGGGTTACCACCACAGCGCAGGGAGTTGTTCAGGGCTGTGAACTGCTTCTTAACCCGGCTCTCCACGTTAGTTTTTTCCTTCTGAAATGGCTGGGTGGAATGAGTTTTGCCCCTACGAACTCATTCCACTGGAGCCCCGGAGCCACTGGAGCCCCGGGAGCAGACCTGCTGTGGATCACGCTTTCAGTACCAGTGCCACTAAGAGGTGAACAACTGGTTTTATGGAGATGGGAATGTAAACTTGTCTCCAGACAAGGGAGATGGAACAATGAACCTTCTGCAGCTCACCTCCTGTGCCACTGTAAATATCTCCGTGACTTCAAAACCCGAAAGGCCAAACATGGAAATATTTTGCTGCTTCGACTTCATTTTATTTACAGGCTACTTGCCCATCTCCGCAAATTTAGTGGAACTGGCGATTTTGAGCTAGAGACATCCAGGTCCAGGACAGGGGAGGCTACGGGGTGATCAAATGGTAGAGCTAGAGGAGCCTTCAGCCCGCAGGCTCGCGATATTCAAAGTGTCAACGATCCGTCTGCAGTGTGACTAAAGGCATGAATAAATGAGAAAACCGGGACTCTAAGAAAAACAAGCACAGAGAGGACAGCTTTTTCCACGGAGCTCTCTGGGATGCGATATGCAAAGCGTTCATGGTACAAGCTTAGGAGAATGGCATCGCCCACAAGCGCAGACTCGGTGCGTGACCACACTTACAGCAGTGAGTTGGCTGGCTATACAGTTCATTCGCGTTAGTACTGAAAGAGTTAAACTTCTTCCATGAAATACCTTAACAGATCTACCAGATCAAGTATTCCCTGCATAAAAGAAAAATACACATTATTTGAACAGCCAAGAAAAAACTGCAATTTATTAAGTTTCAAAGAATCTTCGTACTCTTGAAAGCAACTTTCGGTGCATGTTCTTTAACAATCACATTCTATGAGGAGAATAAACATTAAAAGCCACAATTGTTGGTTTTTGTTTTTAATCTCAGAGTTACAGACATCTTTAATCCAAAAGGAAAGGCAAAAAAAAAAAAAAAAAAAGCCCCAGAACAAAATCCCACCCCCCTGACCCTAAAGAAAAATTTTCATTCCCAATTTTAAAATATCAGGAGTTTTTCTACAACTCGATGCTAAACTTCAGCATGGAAAACCGTATGTAAACACGCACATACACACATACATATTTTATAGAAGTGTGTGGGCATGTATAAAATATGTATCCGTAGGAGGCGTGTCGTGGCAACGGGATGCGGTTCCTCTGAGGAAAGGTTATTCAGCTAAATACACTACTAAAACTTGAGAAACAAAACAAGTCTTGAACCCAGTTTGTGCATAGTTCGTGATCCTCTATAAAACCAGCTTTTGTTAATTTGCAATCTTGCAGGACCCTTTAGATCTGATAAAACCATTAAAAAGCTAATCTTCCCCCCCAAAAAAAAGAAAGAAAAAAAAAAAAGGAAAGAAGTAATGCACAAGTTTCCTGATCCAAGCAGGCAGGGAGCACAATGTTCATATAATTTTTAAAACATACTTGAAGTGTATGTTATTCCATTGTCTTTCTTCCTTTCAAAACAATCAAAAACATCGATCTTTTTTTTTAAACATAAAGCGATTTTTTAATATATAAAGCACTCTTCAAACATCTATTTCTTTTGAGTCCATTATTTGGTAAATATGTAACTGCTACACATTAGATTAGGTATTTTCTTCTTTCTTACTGTCTTTTTTTATTTTTATTTTGTTTTTTAATAATATCTTCAGTGCTAGGAGTTGGGTTTTAAAAATACATGAAATGGTGTGGAGTTGCTCCTCGGGAAACCCGGCTTTCCTGAGACATCTTCCACCATGTGCAAGATAGTGATCACAAAGTTTTCGCCACTTTGACGAAGAGGAGGAAAACAACAACAAAAAGAGTACACAGCAATGGCCAAAGGAAAGGATAATACAACAACACTGTTCAATCCCAGAGCTCTGAAGTAGCATATCTTCATTCTGAAAATAAGTTTTCTTTACGATGGAAGTCTCTTTTTTTTTTTTTTTTAAATTCCTTTTTTATTTTAAAGTTTGAAGGAGAAAAAAAGGTCTGTAAACAGGTGGGGGCCAAAACTCCTGGCTCCTCCAAAAGCAGTCAAAACCTATGTCCAAGTGCTTGTTTCTGTTCCTGCTTGCAAGGGAACTATCCACTCTTTACAATTATCTATGGCCACAGTTCAACAAGAGTTAATTTTTTTAAACTTTATATTCCGAATGGAAAAATGGTGCAATACTCCGGTAATAATTTTCTTGCATTAGTCCACGATAAAAAGCCGCTAAAGGTAGATATACATATTATTCTCCAGAGATACACACTGTAATTTTTAAAATGTGATAAGAGTCCTTGAGTAAACATTTACACGTGAATTGTCGCCGGCCCCTTCTATCAGTTTGTTTCTTTTTTTTTTTTTCTTTTTTTCCTTTTTTCTAAACATCGTAGGAGGAGCTACAAGAAGGGCTGCGGACACTCAGTGCAAAGTTAGGAGCTAATTAACAATTAAAACATTTGACCGATGAGCGAACGAAAAAGCGTATACTGACTGACAGGAAAACAACCCGCACGCGTTTCCTTAAAGCACACGTGGGCGCACACGTACACGCAAGCACACTCGCACACACGCCTCTGTTCCAACAAAAAACATGTCGTCTGAACTTTGTTTGGAAAGAAAAAAAACCCAAAAAAATTCTTAGAGCCTGTTTTTTCGTGTACTGACGCCGACCTGGAAGTGTAACAATTAGCAAGTGTTCACATTTTGTTATTGGCCTGCTGGATTCAAGTATTTGCATGTTGATATGTTGGATTTTTTTTTGTTGTTTTTTTGTTGTTGTAGGTCTTTTTTTTTTAAATATTTTGTATTTTTGGGATTAAAAAAAAATGACATGAAAAAGTAATGAAACAAGGGTAATGTGCATAGGCAGATCCATGGGAGTAGTGGACACAGAAATACCCCAACCCTGCCCTCCCTCCCTCCCCC